ACGGAACCGGATTGAACCGGCGGGCCGACCCGGCCCGCCGAACCGTGCATATTACGGGCCGGTTCCGGTTCCGGACAAAGTGAACCGTGAACCGGTATGAACCGGCCCATGGCCGTGTCTAACTGTCGGTATTTGTAACCAAGTAAAGCAACATCTAATATATTTTTAATATTTTATGAAGTGTGATCTCACTTGTTGAATTGGAAGTATTAAATAATTATTAAAAAGAAAAAAAACACACAAAAAACCAGAAAACACAATGGAAAAAAAAACCAGCAAAACCCGAAACCGACCCAAAATAACCGGGTACTGGGTTATTTCAGGTCAGGTTCGGGTAATATTTTTTTTGCAAAAAATCCGACTAACCCGACCCGACCCGACCCGAATGCCCACCCCTAACTAGAATACAATGGCAATTTGATGGGCCATGAAGCCCATATTAAACTCAAAAGACTAAATTCATATAGGCCCAATAGTGAATTATTCAACATGGGCTTACATAGTTTCGGCCCGGTCCTATCAAAGCATAAGGTCACGGGTTGACCCTATTTCCACAAAATAAATTGTTTTTTTTTTAATTTAAACTAAAATAATCAAAGTTAGCTTTTGCAGTATGCTAACGGTCGTTGGATGGAATTTGTCACACATGGTTAGCTTAATGTATATAATATCTTTTGTATGATTTACATGCTATTATACGAAAAATGTAGGTTTACTCATTGTTCATGTATGGTTAGTTGTAGGTTCCTTCGTGTGTATATATACAAAATATATACACAATTATTTTATTACATTTTGAGTTGTTGCATACATTAAGAATATTAATAAAGATACGTGGAATTTATTGAAAATATATAGTGTGGCTAAAATAGTCATATCATTAATTTTTCTCTCAGCTAATTCAGATTTAAGAGTTGATAAGAGCAAAATTGAGAAAATAATAATGAATGTATGATTGGAATTCTAATGTTACACTAGGGGTGTAAATCGGTCATATCAGATTGAAATAAGCCATTTTCGGACAAATTCTGATTATTTTTGGAAGTGAGCAACTAGTTCCAATTCCATTCTAGAACAAATGGAAATTGAAATTTCGACAATTAGAACGAAAAAATTTGTTCCCATATAAAAAAAACCAGATCGTAATCGGCGGAATTCGGGAATTTCCAAAAAAAATTCAGCTAAAATATAAATTACTTAATAATATTGGTATTTCAAGTGTAATATTCAGTAAAGAAATTTGGAATTTTGGAAATTATCTTCTGAATTTAAATTGGATCAGGAATCGGAACTCATATACAATCCAATTCTATTATTCCAAAATCGGAAAATTTTGGATCGAAATCAGCGAAAATCGCAACTTTTGTTCCAATTTCCATCCCTAAATATCAATATATATATATATTTTATTCTTTCCTTAAGGTAAGTTAATTTGAAATAGAGGAGTACATATTAATTATTATTGGATTAAACATAAATTTAATCATAAAACTAAAAGGCCTAAAACGAATTGTGGCTAATTACAAAACCAAACTATAATTAATTAATTTCTAGGAAAAACTAAAACTAAGTAGAAGCCCAGAAATCTAGGACGCGTGTTTGTCTCCAACCATAAATAAAAAAATAATAAAAAATAAAAAAATGGGTTCATTAGGGTTTCTCACATTCATATATAAACCCTCCGCTTCTCCTCTCTACAACCCTCCGTCATCTTCACTCTGCAAATTAAACCTCAAATTCCGCCGCCAACAACAATGGAGCAGACTTTCATCATGATCAAGCCTGACGGTGTCCAAAGAGGCCTCGTTAGTTTTTTTTTTTCTTTTTTTTATTACACATTTTCTTTGTTTGAGATTTCGTATTCTTATTTATCTCAGATCGTTACTAAAATTAGGATTTTGTTTAATAAATTTTCTATTTAAAAAAGAATTAATTTAATTTAATCTTTGTTCAGTTCAGTAAAGTAAAAAAGGGAACTTGAATTTCTATTGGGTTGATCTTGAAGAAATGCTCTTTATTGAATATAATATTTGTGAAAATTTAATTTAATTGATTTTTCTGTGTGTGTGTGTGTTTTTTTGGTTCAGGTTGGTGAGATCCTTGGCAGATTTGAGAAGAAAGGTTTCACTTTGAAAGGTATATATATATATTTTCAACCAATTTTAATATTTACATTTCAATAATGTGTTTAATTTAATTAGTGTTAATTATTCAAATTTTTGGGCAAATTATGTTTAACTTGATAATTACTCGTTATTAATTTATCAATTTTTGGTGAAATTTAATAAGACGTTTGACTTGATAATTACTCATTAGTTGCTCAACTTATTGATAATATGGTATGGTTTTTTAGGTGGCATTATGTTGTAAATTTATATTCGGCTTTCGATTTGTGACCAGTTGAAAAGAAAAAATAAATATATTGTAAACCCACAACCATTTTCATCTGAATAACTAAAAATCTATTTTACTCAGTTGAATCTTTTTCACTTCACAAACTGCTTATTTAATTATTCTCATTTGATTGTCGAACATATTTCGTCTTTACTGGATAACATTTTTCTCGTTCTGAACTGGATCTAATTTATGTATTAAAGGTCTTAAGCTAATCACGGTGGATCGTGCTTTTGCCGAGAGCCACTATGCTGATTTGTCAGCAAAGCCCTTCTTCAACGGGCTAGTGGAGTACATTATCTCCGGCCCAGTTGTTGCCATGGTGTGGGAGGGTAAGAATGTTGTTACTACCGGTAGAAAGCTTATCGGAGCAACCAACCCTGCTGAGTCAGCACCTGGTACCATCCGTGGTGATTTTGCCATTGACATTGGCAGGTAAATATCGACCGATGCTCTTTTATCATATATTTATATTTTTTTAATTTTCTTGTTACAAAAAGCTACATTGTTTATCATATTGACTATATTTGTTTAAGTATTTCGACTTCATTTACTGGGAAAACCCTATTAAGATGAATGATCCACTATCATGGATCTGTATTGGGCTTGATTTGTAACGGTTCTTGATTTATGGCTCTTTGGTTATCATATTGGCTATATTCCTTAAAATATTTCGATTTATTTGCAGTTTTAATAATGAAGTAGTCTCTCTCCTTTATTCCTGTTTGATTCCACTATCATGGTTCTCTACTGGGCTTGATTTGTACCGATTCTTGATTTATTCCACTATCGTTTACTGAGAAAATCCCTAATAAGCTGAATTACGTGCATAATGTTATTAATGAAGTAGTCTCTCTCCTTAACCGATTCTTATCTACTACTGCCTTTGTCGGCGACTGTCGTATTTTGTCCCCTTTTTTTCGTGATATAGTTTTTTGTTCTCTCGGAATTTTGAAGTTGTCAATGTAGATGTTATAAAATTTGTGCATTAAGAGATAGAAAGTATTGTTGGAGCTACAATGCGAGAGCTATATATTTATGTGTTATTGTGAATGCAGGAATGTGATTCACGGAAGTGATGCAGTGGAGAGTGCGAGGAAGGAGATAGCTCTTTGGTTCCCAGATGGAATTGCAGAATGGAGAAGCAGCCTCACCCCATGGATCTACGAGTGAATTTTCGCCTCTACTTATATATTTAAGTTTTGACTATTTGGTATTTTGAGTGTTTTCAGAACAAACCTTTGGGATTTTGGATTATATTTCGGAGTTTATTTAACGTTTCCATTGGCTAAAACACACCCTAATATTCATGATTGTTCTTGAACAAATTTGTGTTTCATTCTTGCACTACTTTTCGAATCTGTTATAAAAAAAAGAATAAATTTTAAGAAATATGGAAAACTGGAAAAGTGATTATGTTGAGACACAGTAGCACTCGTATTTATGAAAATACTTTAGTGAATCACGCATTTGAGTATTATCTCACAACGATATTTTTAATTGATTCCCATAGTGCTATCAAGAAATTGTCGAAATGGACAAAAATGTTAAATTTTTGAAACATGAGGGACTGAATAGATTTTTTGTGAACATTGAGAACCAAATGTGAATTAGAGATAAACTTGAGGGATGAAATGCGAAATTTTCCCCATTTCTTTTACTACGATAAACACAAATCAAGAACACCCAATGCTAATTGTCTAGGCTAGCTCACACTATTATGTCAATTTTGGATTATCAGCAAAATAAAGTATGTAAAAATAGTTACTTATCAAAAAAAAAGTATGTAAAAATAGTACAAATCATATAACTAGCGGTTCTGCACAAACTTCATAAATGCCCAAACCTACTATAACAAAGGAAGTGCAACACGAAAAAACTATAGTAGTATGGAAATACAACACGAAAAAATGGGAAATTGAGAGACGGCTACTTATAACACTACTGACTAAGAAGGCAATAGGAAGGCAAGTCTTCGAGACGTTTTATATCTTCTTGGAGAAGCTCTCTCTCCAACTCACGACGAGTAGCTTTCATCACAGCCTAATTGTACAATCCCAAGACCGAAATCAGTAATTGACTTACAGTGTCAATAAATAGGAGGCTCACTCAAATTGACATGTTGACTTATCATTTATTTTGAACATGTAAAGAGCGAAACAAATTTCAAACTAAACATTTCAAGTGATAAGAAACTACGATTTTGGTGCAAAACTTACGTTGAAGTCCATGTAAGAAGCACGCATGGCAAGCCATTGTTGGTCCATTAGCTTGAACGCGATACAATATAGAAGATCAAATGCTGATTCATTTACTGTCAGACAAAATGTTAGGAAAGGTTTGGAAATCAAACCAATGAGCAAAAATCAAAATAAATTCAACAAAGAGTACATTTGTGGATCGAACACAAAATTGTGAGAGTAAAGATGTTAAGTGTTACCTGCAAGAAATTTCAAAAAGGTTGCTCCCACGAGCGTTCTGGGCTTCACTGCAACAGTAGAAGCAAAAAATAAGCACTTGTTTCACATGTTCAAAAAGATACTCGTGAATTAATGGTACACTTGGGTGTACTCGGGGATGCACACAAAGTCAAACCGAAAAAACCTATTGCATGCACTCTACATTTATTCATTCACAAAACAAACAAGCAAGCATTGATCAAAAAATCAGATGAGATAACTTTTTTGGCCGACAAACTCAACAAAGAACGACAGACCATGGAGACATTTCGAGAAGTGATTAAAATTCAGTAACAAGATTCAATTCTAATCAATGAAAATTACCAGGCTGAAAGTTGAGAGACAGAACTTTACTGCTCTCTCAATCTCGATCGTGGAAGCAAGAATGAAAAGATTATAAAGCCATGAACATGATTTAGACTCAAATAACTTCAATTACATATCGAAAATTGTTTTTCTTTCTGCAGAGGTTAAAATTGTTGAACTAACTATGATTCTTGTGCTAATAGAAATACATAAACTTCATATAGAACTACAGAACTGAGACTGCAGCTTATTCGAGTTGTATTAGTTATTGATTTCAAAAGCACACAATTCAAAGAATCACACAAATTCAAAGAACTTCAGAAGAAAGGAATAAAAGAATGGTCAACTAAATGTTGATTCTTTCATCACACCGAAAATTCAAAAAATACCTGCTTCAAGGTCAAGAATCTGAATAAGCATGAATGTGATGTTGACACCAGCTACGGCAAATGGGTATTCCCACAACGCCCTGTCACCTTCCTGCTTCCAAAGAAGACTCTGAAAAGATTTCTACATAAAAACATTTGGTAAGTTACAAAATTCCTCATATATCCTCTTTACAAAAAGCAAAGGAGATGAAGTTAGATAAGCAAAAACAACAAAATCCCTAGACAGTCGACATTGACTCACATTAGTCGACGGATATTGTGATGTGATTATGGATAGAAATTTATCTGTGTTCTAATGTAGACATGTATCATACTTTTGCCTATCTAAAAGTAATTTGGAAACAGGCATGTCAAACAAAGATAAGAACATAAATTTTTTTCTTCAGGGTTAAACGATTTGTAGTAGTAAAATAAAAAAAAATAAAAATCCCAAGAGAGGTAGCAATTCATATTGATCAAGTTCAACTGCGCATATTTGAATTCCAAATTTATCTCTGTAAGAATACCGAGGAATTTGTTCATAAAGTCACATGAAACTAGTCAAACAAAAACTTCCCCCAAAATACAAATGTGTGGTGGAGGAAGCTAAACTAACCATTATGTTCTGGCATTATTTTGCATCAATACCAAAGAATGGTGATATGAGCCAAGTTGCAACAATACAAATCTTCACAACAATATAGTTTTATAAGCATGAATTAAACACATAAACCAACAATACTAATGAGAATATGTAACTATTTTACCATCAGGTGGATGGTATATTGAACCTTAACACAAAAATGTGCAGATAAATTCAAACATGATCATGCACACACAGACACCCATATGCAACCACAGTGTGAAATAGATAGACGTATGAGAGAGAGAGAGAACAGGATTGTACCGGAAAATTCCTAGCAAAGTACAGCAAATTTTCCAGTGATATGAAACCTCCACCCCTAAAAGAATATGCCATATGTTTAATTAAAACAATGCATGAGAAGAAGTAAAATCACTTTTTTAAGAGATTCAAACATGGTACAAGGATAGGATTATATACCGAAAATCTGTTGACGGATCTTTTCCTTGCCAACCCATTTCTTTCCACTGGTCTGATATTAAACCATGGAGTTCTTGCCCAGGAAAAGCAGCATTCCACAATGCCCGTAGAGCTTCCTATGAAGCAAATGAAAGAAAAATTAAAATAAAGGGGGCAGATTTCAGTTCATATTTATTTGCTTATATATGTGCTAGTGAATACATGCCTAGTAGATTTATGGACTGTACCTGATGGACGGGAATAGAACTATCATATGCTGCATCTAACCGATTTTGTAGCCTCTCTAGGCATTCTTCCTGAGACATTAAGAGGGATAAGCATCAGTGGAACAAGCAACATATATTATATCGATGTGTCGTCAAGAAAATATCTTAATTACAGAGACATTGTAATGATCAAAGATTTAATGGACCTCTATGAATAAAAAAAATACTTCCTTAAATTAGAGCTCAATTGTCATTCTGATCATAGTGTGTGGAAAAAATTAAGTCGAAATTCTGACTATATCCTGACCTAGGGGAGGATGTTACAGAAATTGATTCATACATCCCATCAGCAAAATTACTAAATAAACTACATCAAATTCAAAAGTTGATTAGTCAACTTTGGTCTATTTTATGGTCTAACAAGTAATTTGATCTTATTACAAACTATAAAGTGAGTTGCTCCAGAATTATGGCAGGAGTAAATCTAACGTCCACAAATTATTCTAACCTACATGAGCAGTTCCTTCTGAGAATTATTACAAACTATATATTCAGCAGAAAGCAAACTGTCAAAGTGTAATTAACGAAAATCAGATTTAATGAAGCAGTGATGCATAAGGAGGCTACCATTTCCCTACAAAATTGAATTCTGGATACCTTGCAGGCAACTAAAGAAATGAAAAATGCAATTCTCAAGAAGTGGAAACTGAATATTAAAATAATCAACACCATAGGAATATCACCTGTGCCGTTGTCAAATCAAATGATGGGCGAGCATCATTTTCTCCTCCCTGAGCACAAACGCATGAAAGGCCTTTGCCAAGCCATGCTGTCGATCCTGCCACAACCTCCGCTGTAACAAAAGAAAACAGTTGGATAAATGAACAAGCGAAAAATGGCTTCTAAATTGCTAACAAGAGAAATATATTAACATACTAAAAACTCAACCATCAGCTCAGCATGTTTTACATTCAGGTAAAATAAGTATATATCATGTACCAAAAACAACGATTCTCACAGCTAGCTCTTTAATTTCATTCACAATCATTGAAATAAAGATCCAGATACAGAACTTAATACTACAAGAAAACGAGTTCACATTTTATGAATCAACAGACGGGTCTGATTTTGACTATACAGCTAGAACGGAAAACAGTTTGCCTAAATTTTTTCATAGTTCCATTTCAGAGCTGAATAAAAGTATGAGGTGCCAGCAGTCAACTTCAACCCTTTCAGCATTTTTCCCATTTATATCACTAGAAACATAAAAAAAAATTAAATAAAAAATTAAAAAAAAAGGTGGTTATGCACAGATCAGTGGTTATCCCCTTCAAAACCACAGCCAACCCACATTCCCCTGCCACAGCCCACTTCACTAAAATCCAGCTGCCACCCCAAATCAAATTGCAATTTCATATTTCTCTTATTGTAGTGATTTCTCTTGTTGAATTCATTAAATTGTGTAATTAAATCACATTTCATGGAAATTAAGATATGGGACGAAGATTCCAATTTCTTTTAAATAAAGGATTGGGTAGTGATTCCAATTACTCAGATGATAAGAAAACAGTGTCAAATTACGAAAAATAATAAATTATGTATATATATAAATATATGAACAACCGAAACAAGAAAACTAACCAAAAATCTCAAAGCAAGTAGCCATCAATTAACGTAATTTTTCCAATTTAGGGATCACAATCTCTAGAACATTCACTGCACTATTGTGTACAGTTATTATTTTCAGGGATATAAGCACACGCGCACACAAATGGGGAAGGCAGACGAAAAAGAGGTTAAATAAAGTTAGGTGAACAGAGAAAAGCAGATAGATAAAAAAAAAATAAAAAAAAATCAAAATTATTGATTTAAAAAAAAAAAGGAATATACCAGAAGTAGAATGGCAAGCACCTCCACGATCGAGCCCTTGCGGTATTCGCCTCACCGCCACAAAAGATCCTCCTCCGCCGCCGCCGCCTCTATCGTCCATTTCCTCACTATTACCGCTCCTCCGCTCGCAACCGATTCAACTTTTTTTTCCGTGAATTTAAATTTTTTTTTATTTACACCGGAACTGGAAAACAAGCTTGATCTTTGCAAGCGTTTTCCAATTCGATTTCGGCAAAACGAAATCGAATTGATCAAATCAAAAAAAAAATCGCGAGAGATACAGAAGCGGAAATGTAGGGGCGAAACGAAATACGACTGAACGACGCCGTTTCAAGATCTGCAGCAGCACGCACACCGATAAAAAACGACGACACTTCAATACAATTCTGATAGCGGCTCAAGCGCGTGTGTCCCAAACACGTATACTATATATTTGAAGAATCAACAGATTGACACGAATATGCAAATACGCATTAGGTTTTGATTGTTCGATGCATCGGCGAGTAGCGGTTTATCTTTTTTCTCTCTCTAAAAATATATATAAGTATGTGTGTACGTATAGTTAGGAGTGAAGAGTCTTTCTCTCTCTAAAAAATGGAGTTTCTGTGTTGTGCTGCTGGTGAAGTATTTTTTATACTATATAGTCTGTGTGGCCTGCGCGTCTATTTCGAAGAGAGAGAAAGAGAGGAGAGAGAAAAAGAGAGAGAGAGAGAGAGAGAGAGAGAGAGAGTATTTTTTAGTGGATTTAATTTATTTTTTGACCTAATTAATGAGATAATTAACTTCGAAATTGGAAGTTAATTGATCCATATTTCACACTAATTAATCAGCTTAATCCCTTTGCAATTTGCATTCTTGAAATATAGCGTTTATTGCACTTTGCACCCTCGACAAAAATAATAGCAATTCTCATCCTTAATATATAATAAATCATGCATATTGCACTCCAAATGAATTTTTAAAAGCTAATTTAATATTTTTAGTGATATTTTTTTAGGATGAAGTATGTCAAACCTTTTTTTTTTATATTCATCAATCATTTCGAGATTACAACCGGAAATAAATAAAAATACATCTCATTAATATATTGAAAAAAAAATACAAAATATAAAAAGAATAAAAAAATCATTCAGCTATTTTGTTATTAAGTTATTTTAAAATTATATTTTCTTCCAAAGATTTCCACCAAAATATTTTCACTAGTTTTTTTCAGTAATTCATTGTGAGTTTTCATTTTTCGTATTTTGTACCTTCGAAATTATATTGGAGGTAAAAGAAAATAACAATTTAATTTATTACTTTGCACCCTGAAAATAGGAATTCAATAAAAAGTGAAATTATCCTCAATAAATTTTAAATATTCAGTTCAATGAGCATTGTAATTTATTTATCGTGTTTCGAATATGCAAATTGCTATTAAATATTTTTTAGGATGCAAAATGTCAAAATACTATTTTTCAAGGGTGCAAACTGCAAAGTGGAATTAAACCCTTATTAATCCATCATACAAAATGGAAAGTTGTATGGGCACATTAAACAACTGTCAAAGTCCAGTCAATTGTTTTTCTTTTCTTTTCTTAAAATGAAATTAAGCACTAATTAGTTATTACTTATTAGTCGATCATACAAAATGGCATAAATTAACTATAATTTGAAATATAATATTTAATGCAATATTCTATTGGATTAGGTCCATTCTTTATTGAAAAACCTTTTTAGCATTGTTACCTAACAAACAATAAATAAATAAGAAATAAAAAAAATCAATTAATTTTAAAACACTATGAATAAACTCAAAGAGTTAAAGTAATATAACATGTCGATCACTAAGCTTTAGCCCCAAATGCAAAGTCACAATCCAATATTGGGTGCATATGACTTTCATCTGCCAGCCTATTATGTTGCCCCCACTTATTTATACCTTTTTTACTTTCACAAAATTATTATTATTATTATGCTTTTCTTCATGAATATCTAAGTTGCAAAACTTATTATTTTGATAAATTGATCATGAATACATACATACACAAACACACACAAAAAAACGCAAACAATGAGTGTGATCACATTCGATTTTGGGCACAATAGATTATTTAATACAGCTCATTAACTCATTATCTCTCTCTTTAGTCGGTCTAAAAGCACAAAAGTTCGAGCCTCGGTCAAAGGTTGAGAGCTCTCTAGATCTTCAATTCAGAAAGTTAATTCTTTCATTTTGATTTGAGGTACTTAAACTTCCGCTTCTCTCTCTCTCTTGCCCTAATTTCTGATCTTCTTTCCTCTTTGTCCTCTCGTCGTACCACCGCGTTCAACTCATCTTGTCTGCTTCTGGCGACATTCTCGTTGATGATGACGATGGTTGTACCTAAATTGTCTTCTCCTTCTGAGACCATTCTTCTGTACCCATCTATATAACATGAGTTGCTAAGAGATAGAGAAATAAGATGTGAGAGAAATAGAGATGCAATTTGAATCTTAACCTAGTGTCCATATCTTTGTTCTTCAGGAAGCGAGAGGGATCCACTTCTAATTGTGGGAAAAACGAGAGTTCAAATTATATGAGGTTGTGGGTATTGGGTGAGAGAGTTGGTCAAGATCTGAGTGATTTTGTCCAATATAGGGGTCCCAGTTACTTGTGTTTTGGTGTTGAACTGTAACGTGACATAGGAAATTGAGCCGTAACTGAAAGCTTAATTTATCCATTCGTTGGAGTTTAGTTCCTCATAGCTTCTCGAACATGTGTAATTTTTACGCTTTGTGGTCATGAAAAGCATGTTAAGGATTATTGGATCCTGAACATTCTGTAATTTTTTTATTTTTTTTTTATATCTTTTTATAATTTTTTTTGATAAAATCTATAATTTATCCTAAAATTTGTAGAAACAATAATACAATGAATATGCAAGTCATTGGATAACGTTCTATATATGTGTACTTTATGATTTCTTAATTTACACATCTTACTTCTCGCTCCAATCAACCCATCTAGGAATATTACAATGTGATTAAATTAATCTTTTGATTTTGCCGTAACGAATTTGATAACGTTCATTGAATCGAACATTGGAAATAGTAATTCTTACTGGGAATAGGAGCAATTTACTAGTTCCAATGGCTACGAAATTTGAGAATTTGCCCGCAAAGATTGTCGAGCAAGTAAGCTTATGTCAGTTGACCCAAATTTGACGCGTGCCTTTTTGTGGTGGAAAACTCCCTTCTTGATAACATTTAACGACACACGTTAGTTTCGTGTCTGTAATTGTTAGGTGTAAGTGCTGAATGGGCCTGCGCTGCATAAATTTTGTGCGGGCCCGGGCTTGTCGTTAACATCAGTATCAAAAGCAGCACAGTCGACAACTCAATAGCATTATTGACATTGCAATCGTTAATCATAACTCTGATTTTCATAAAGTTGCTACAAAGGAAAAAAAATTAATCGAAAAGATTCTAGGACAAATTACGACCATCCTTGAGGTAAGACCAAATTACTAAAATGCCCTTCTTATTTGTGTAATTGCAACCACCCCAACTATGTATTTTCTTACAAACAAAACCCTCAATTAGTAGATAAATTTGACCGCCGAAAGGATGGAAATGTAAAAACAATATTACTCCAAAACAGATGCATATAACTACTTAATAAGGTCAACATTTTGTACTTGGGGAAGGAACAGAACACATTTTACAATTGTCCATAGACTCCGTAAATCCTAACTCAGGTTTACACTGGACGTTTTATATATATTTTTTCAACCCGACTCAAATACCAATAATAGAATGGTAACTCTCATAACCGAACTCTCACATCATTAATTCCGACAATTCGAAACTCAAAAACCGCGGAAAGGCTCAAGAACTTGGTCATGCCTTTTTAATTAATCACTTATTACAAAGGCGAACTTCAACGACCGCTTTTATCATCCTTAACGCTCTTGTCGTCTTTGTCGTTTGTCAGGGGAGAGTATTGGCTGGTTGAAGTAGGAGAGTACCCTGGTGCACTCGGAGAGTATCCAGCACTTGGGCTGGAAAAAAAGCCGAAAAAAAGAAATATTTCATGACCAAATATTTTTACAAAAAATGGTAAGCAAATTGCGTTAAGATTTCGATTGACAGTGGAGTAATATGCACTCACCTATACTGCTGTGGAGAGCTAGGACTGTAGTCTGGATTTCCACTAGAGCTGTATGGGCTGCAATATTCATGTTTTACGAGTTAGATAGGATCAAAGTACCTTAGCAATCTTGTAGATGAATAAACGGATAAGCTAGCACAAAAATCAAAAAAAATAAGAATCGAAACAAGTAATATCACAGTGGCAATTAGCAGCTTAGCACATGCAGTTGTTCTGGCGTAAGAACGTGTGTAGAACAAAGTAATTGCGAATAAAAAAAGTAATGATTAACGCCTTGATTGAAGCTTAAGATATAGAGCACATACCTGCTTGGGCTATAACTTGGACTAGAGGGAGAATACGATGGGGATGTTGGAGAATATGAAGGTGACGTCGGGCTGCAAACACAGTACAGATAATTAGTGACTAAGAAGCAAATTGCGGAAGAAAAAAGCAATAATTTTGAAGCAGCGGACTTTTTTATGTCACTTCTCACAATTTATCAACTAAAAAGGGAAAAACTGATCAATCAAAAGCTACAGAGGTCAACTTGATCAATCAAAACTCAAAAGTTAATGAACTTACGCTGCTCTTCTTACTCATTCCTCAATGGAAAAGCAGGAAACTTGTTTTTTTTCCTCTTTCTTTTTTTGTTCTTACAAATGTAGAACACAAAAATACAACGAAAAGAAGGTGATCGATATCATTTTCTAGCCACTTACATGATCCGGTTAAAAAAAGTGACCGTTAACCAGTAACAATTTTGATTTCATTTTTCAATTAGATTCACTCTTCACAGGCAGTATCTAGGTTCTCATATTTTCAACAACCATGAGTCAATCAATAGTTGGAAATCTTGGAAATCATGAAGAGCAAATACAGCAAAAAAACAGTTTTGCCCAAATTACCTGTAAGTAGGAGAGGATGGGCTGTATGGACTCGACGGTGTGATCGTAGGACTTGTAGGTGAATATGCCAGAGAAGGACTGTATCTTGCTGAAGGGTTATAACTCGGAGATGTAGGACTATAACTTGGCGAGGTAGGACTGTAGCTTGGTGAGGTGGGGCTATAACCAGGTGAAGTTGGGCTGTAGGCAGGTGATGTTGGACTGTAAGATGGAGATGTTGGGCTATAAGACGGAGAGGTAGGGCTGTAAGAAGGTGAAGTCGGGCTGTAAGAAGGAGAAGTTGGACTGTAAGAAGGTGATGTTGGGCTGTAAGAAGGTGATGTGGGGCTGTAAGAAGGAGAAGTGGGGCTGTAAGCAGGAGAAGTGGGGCTGTAAGCTGGAGAAGTGGGGCTGTAAGCTGGAGAAGTGGGGCTATAGCTTGGAGAAGTAGGACTGTAACTCGGAGAAGTTGGGCTGTAGGTAGGAGAAGTAGGCGAATACGATGGGCTGGTGGGAGAATATGCAGGGCTTGTTGGGCTATAACCTGGAGAACTAGGGCTATACGTTGGAGAAGTTGGGCTATAACCAGGTGAAGTAGGGCTATAGCCAGGTGAAGTAGGGCTATAGCCAGGCGATGAAGGGCTGTATCCAGGAGAAGACGGGCTGTACCCTGGAGATGAAGTAGGAGAAAAGGCCATTCCACCAACATAGGGAGAAAACTGAGCATCTGTGACAGGGGATAATCGAAGATTTGGACTCATCAGCAAATAATTCGGTGACATCATCCCATCGTGATACGGAGTTCCCGAGTGGGGAGAACGGCCAGGTGTCATGCCGAACTCCAATCCACCTTCCATATAGCTCGGCAAAGGGATCTCGATAGCTTGCTTCAGCATCTGTTCGTTCAACAACAATGCACAGTCTCCTGTGCCTATAGGTGCAAGCTGACCCAACATAATATTTTCAGTCACACCCCTAAGGCAATCGGTTTCCGCAAATACAGCAGCGTCGAGCAATATGTCCACCGTTTCTTCGAACGAGCATCTCATCATGGGGCCTGTGTCGTTTCGATTGATTCCGTGACGAGTGATGGCCATCAAGTGGCCGCGGTAAGTCATGGTGTCGCACAATATCGCCAGGTGGCGGTAGTTCACGTAGGACCCGTCGAAAGATATGACGACACGCAGCTCGTCCAGCAAAGACCTTCTAACCGCCTCTATTCCGAGAACTTCGATAACTTCGATCAAGTGATTGCTCGTTGTTCTACGCACATCCACTTCTTCGTGGCACATGACAGCCAAGAGATTCACACCTTCTGTATCGAGCATCCACTCATTCTCCGCCTTGAACCCATCGTTCTCGTCAAACTTATTCAGCTTGCTGTTCTTTATGAACACCTTGTTGATATCTGGTATGCCTCGAAGAGCCATTTCTGTAAGCATGTTACCCTCGATCTTTTTCAGAAACACGTCATCCTCAGCCGATTCATCAGCCAATTCACCCTTGGGGGCCTGCTCATTCATTATACGAATACGAAGGATCAGCTTTTCGGCATTGTCATCGTTAAATATGCACGTCAGGTCGTCACTGAATTCAGTATTAATCTTCTCTGCAATATCTGCCATGCTTAGCTTCTTATCGACCATCATCTCTCGATTTAACTCTATGCGAAGCAGCCAAGGAGAGATCTTGTCTGGGTCAATTTCTTCGTCGGGCATCTCATAGTAGGACTTCACAAATTCAACATCTTCCTCGATAATAGTGCTCATAGGATCAGGATCGTACCAAACCTCCGTGGCTTGTGTCACACTCCGTAGAGTTGTATATTCTAGAGCACACTGGACATTTTTAGCCTTCTCCTTAGTTTTACTCACATCAGGCTTCAGGTACACGGAGAGAGACGGTGTTTTGATTTTCTTCGCAACATTAATAATCTCCCTCAGCCTCGGCACACCTAAAGTAACATTCTTAGCACTCACACCAGCATAATGAAACGTATTGAGAGTCATCTGTGTAGCAGGCTCTCCAATAGACTGCGCAGCAACACATCCAATCATTTCCCCAGCTGCAACAAGCGACTGCAGAAAACGAGATTCTATCTCACCGATAACCCATTCAAACGCCTCACGTGTAAGTCTGTACTCCTTCAAAACCCTTTTACTTGCTAAGGCACTGCGAAGCAATATATTGAAGAAAAGAGTAGCATTTTTCTGGGCTTCAGTACTCAGATAATCATCACCAACAACCACCTTAAGTCTCTCTTGTAACTTATCAACAGCTTCCACTATCTCCATTGGGTGCATATCAGAAGGCCTCCGGAAATCAACTTTAAATGTCTTTTGTGCGTTTAAGACAAGCCTCTTGATATTAACAGGTAAAGGCCAAGAGTTGTCACCCGTAGTCGCAATCTCTGTCCCGAGTTGGAACCTGTCGACTTCGAGTTTCGTAACCTCAGCATCAAACACACTGCGAATTTCCCTAATTGTTTTCAGATCTTCCACAGCTTCAGGTAACATGTAATTAGGATTCCAGTTTGAATTATCAATCTCGTATTTGTACATGTCATTGAAGTCTGATTTCTTCAGCTTCAGCGACTCAAGAGGTTGCGATTCAATCCAAACAGCATCCATACCATCTTCACCATATAGAAACTGAATCACATCACCCAAGGAATTCCTAACAGTCCCATCATACTTAACCATGATATCCTCCATAGCCTTCACCAACCGCCTTTGAATATATCCAGTCTCAGAAGTTTTCACAGCAGTATCAATAAGACCCTCCCTACCTCCCATGGCATGGAAGAAGAACTCCTGCGGAGTCAATCCCCGAAGATACGAGTTCTCCACAAACCCACGACTCTCTGGACCATAATCATCTTTGGTGAAGTGTGGTAATGTACGATCGACGAATCCAAAAGGTATTCGTTTGCCTTCAACATTTTGCTGCCCCACACATGCAGTCATCTGAGATATGTTAATAAAACTTCCCTTTGATCCAGCAGTAACCATAGCCTTGAGGTTGTTACTTTCTGACAAACTCTTTTGTGCGCTGCTTCCAGCGTCATCACGGGCCTTATTCAACACCTAGAGAAGAAAAAAATGGATCAGACTTCCTTCATCAAGCGTTGAAATGAAAGCAAAGTAAAGTAAGCTGTTTAACATACCTGATTCACTCTGTTTTCAAAAGATTCCATCATAGTTCGACCAGGTTCAGGCTCCAACTGCTTTTCTTGAGCAGCCCTGATAAGCTCTTTCACTTCATTCTTTGCATTTGAAATTGTTTCATTGATCTTCTCCATTGTCGCAGCATCAGCAATTGTATCACCAATTCCCATACTAAACGCATTCTGCAGGAGCCAATAATTGACGAGCCATTGTGTATGTCCCAAAAATTTACGAGCTGCATCTGGACCGACTTCTTCCCTGAAATCATTGGGTTTAATTACAAACAGAAACAACAACAAAAGAATATTTCACGGGCTACCATTCAGAAGTTTCAAAACCACTGCCAAAATAGCAGAATGGAACTAAGATGGTATAGAAGGCATATGAAGTATTCTTACTCTATAAAATAGCATCCCTAGTTCTTGTTACTCTCGCTAAACTCATAAAATGTAGCAATGTTCACAAGCAAAGGTCTTGAAAGAACATACCAAATAACATGAATCAGACTTCCAGTGGATGTCCCAAGCGCCTTCTTACACAATGTGCCAGTAAGTAACTCCCCTTTCTCTATTCGTACTTGAGTATCCCCTGGAGTTATAAATCCTTTTTCGGTTTCTTGATGCCATGCCGAATACCTCAACAGATTTATCTGCTTTGGTATGATCAGGTTAAATACTTGTTTTCCAGTCCAAAGAGGCCTAGGTTTCAGGATAGCTGGAGCAGGTACTTTGCCGTCAAAATCCTCCCACCACATCAGAATGTTCATGAAAACATCCTGCATAAAACAAAGATAAAAGTTTTAAAAAATGGAAATAGATACCTGCCGATAAGAACTCTAGGAAGAAAAAACACCAAATCTTACCTTCTCAATAAATGTGTCCCTTTTAGTAATTTTTCTGCATCCTAGAAGTGTATCCTGCACAATCCCCATCACTGGCCGATTCGCTTGCGGGGACACGATACATTTTGGAACCATCATCAGTTCCAAAACTTCCGCTCTTGTTTCAAATGACTGGGGAACGTGCATGTTCATTTCATCACCATCAAAATCAGCATTGTAGGGAGACGTAACAGACAAATTCAGGCGAAAGGTTGAGTAAGGCATGATCTTGATTCTATGCCCCATTATAGACATTTTGTGCAGACTCGGTTGCCTATTGAACAAGACGAAGTCTCCATCATTCAAGTGTCGCTCCACCTGTACCATTTAATAGTTAGTCGCAAAATAAAGCACTTCCAGAAAATTCACATATAAAGAGCAGCATGGATTCTCACCTTATATCCAAGTTCTAGATGCTGATCACTGCTTTTCTTCAAGTACCGAAGATCAAGCCTCTGGCCATCATCCCTAATTATATACTTTGCACCAGTTTTACCAGGAGGAGGATGAGGTCCGTTTTCTACAAGCTCTTTCAACCTATTATCATGGACAAGTTTTGGTGATTAAGTAATCAAAATGTCAAAGAGGGTGACTATCGAATAGCATATAAAAAGAGTCGCACCTTTCAATGTTATACGGGGTTACAGTTTCTGGATATGTGAGATTTAAGGCAATACTCCAAGGTACACCCAGTTGATCAATGTTGATTGTCGGATCAGGTGTAATCACAGTCCGAGCCGAAAAATCTACTCTCTTTCCCATCAAGTTACCTCTGATCCGACCTTCTTTTGCCTTAAGCCTGCTACATATCGATTTGATTGGTCTACCAGATCTTTGGGTAGCCTAGAGTACACCAAAGTACTTCCCTGGTTAGATTAATCGTACTCAAGTATTTCAACGATAGAGCCCCTATACATGAAAAAACAACCATACCCTTGGCTGTCCAGGTAGTTCATTGTCAAAGTATGTGGCTACATGAAACTGCAGCAACTGTGCAAACTCTGAGATGATGTGTGCAGGAGCCCCATTGCGCTCCTGCCTCTTCAAGTTCTCGTTGTGCCTAATGATCATCGCCAGTTGATGAGTTAAATCATCCTGCATTAGTAGATTGAAAATCAGGCTTTCCACTATGGCAAAGTGGCAATTTTCCATTCAGAAGCCGACATATTAGAGCCACAGAAATATCGAAAGTGTTCTGATAATTCAGGAAACAAGAAGAATAGGCATACCTCACTCCTAGCAGAAGTATCCATCATGACAGAAGGTCTGACAGGAGGAGGAGGGATCGGAAGAACTTGAAGAATCATCCAATCAGGGCGAGCAAATTTCGGATTCAAGCCCAACAATTGACAATCTTCATCAGTTATTCTCTTCAGAATGCTAAGTACCTGAAATTAAAAGCAGATAAGAATCACTCGAATAAGCAATATGGGTCAAACTAACACAAATCAGAAGGATTGGAAAGGAGAACATCCATTTTTTTTTTTTTGTGATGTGTGCCATATAGTACCTTTTCAGCAGATAGCTGCTGTTTCCGCTCAACAGGTTCAGGCATCTGATCCTGGTCATCACTTTTCTTCTTCTGAAGCTTGTATTCAGCAACCATCTTCATCCCATCAATAGAAATTTTTGGCTGCTGAGCACCACACCCACCCCTAGACTTCTTTACAGGTTCTTCTGTATCTTGACTGTGCCCATCAATCTCATCACCACCGTCACATTTAGTTTTGTTTTTGCAGGCATCCAATATCTTCCTAAGTCTATTTTTTGGGTTTCTAATTCTCATCGCTTGCTTGAATTTCGGTTCCTCCTAGAATAAATTAAAAACACAACGTAAGTAATACTTGTCGGAAATGAATTGTTTCCTGTAAAACTTCATTCAATGTTTTCTTCCGGAATAATTCATTAGAGAAACCCAAGGGTTATTTATAGAAACATAACTTTTAATATTAGCACCAGATGCAAGCAGGCCATAGAACATATCAAACGCTTCCAACTACACAGGAATGCAACACCAATTAAACAGGGATATCTAGTACGATTCATCAGAATGGTCAAGCAAACATTGTCTGAATTTCTAGTATATGACCAAATACATGATGGAAGCATCATCCAACCTTCTAGTATATGTTGCACAAATGTGACACCAAGTTACTCAATGATCAGTCAAACCAACTTATTAGCTATCATCTTGTTCATGCTTATTATATACCTCCTCCTTCAAATCATTAACCGATATGCGGGATTTCAATTTAATATTCAACATAACCAATTCGAGGCACAATAACAACTATTGCTTATACACAGTTCAGCTTCACCTAGCAATTAAAAATCAATCACCGATAAGTGGATGCACGAACGACAATTCAATCCACAACATCTCATTATTCGGCAATTCGATAATTCATCAAAATTACCTCATCGGCCAAAATTTTGGAGCAATTGAAGCAAACACAACGGAGAATACTGAGCACAATCTTCATGAATCCAATATGAAACATAGGTTTCGCGAGCTCGAGGTGACCGAAATGCCCGGGGCACTCAGCCATGTTCGCCATACACGTCTCGCACTTCATCTTCCGATCAATCGTCCCAAGCCGCGGGTCGCTCAGACCTCCAATCTTCGGCTTGCCCCTTTCTGTTGTCTCGCTATGCTCAATATGCACAACCGACATTTGCCTCTGCAAAAAAAACACAAAATCGCACCATTACTCCACTGATTTCTACTACTGAATCTGTTCAAAAAAAACTACTCAAATAGTGAAACCAACGAGAATTGATAAAAATAAAATTACAATTTCGTCGGGGCTGAGAATCCCGAACTGAACCACGCGGACTTTGGCCACCTCCGCCGGAGAGAAGGGGAACCGCAGATCCATGGCGATTCGCCGGAACGGAGTACTAGGGTTTGTTGAAATTAACTGTGATTTGAACAAAAATTATATCTATTTTTTCGTTTTCTTTTGGGTACAATAAATTTGATTTCAATTTTCTGTTAGCCGTTAGAAGTATTTCAGGGTTTTACAGAGAAATCTGTAATCAGGCCCTCTCTCTGCCCCTCTGAAGAAGGAGACTTTTGGAAACGAAAGAGCATTTCTGAGGGTTTGGTGTTGTATTTATAGACGGGGAAAAGAGGCGGTGTTTGGTTACAGGGATAGCTATAGTCGGTTTTGGATTTGGATCAAAGATTAATTACGTGATTGGTTTTAGGTCTAATCCAATTAAGAAATTATAAATTACTATTAACAAAACTTTATGTGTAGATTAATATATATAATTATTTATATCTAGTAACATAAAATTCTCATATATTTAAGGAAAATTGCATTGAAATCACGTGATTTTTTTTTTTTAAGAATTGGAATAAATACATGAGTGATAAATTAATACACACAAATAATTATAAGAAGTTTATTGAAGTTATTTCAGCCCAATTAATGACAAAATCGAAAAGTTATTGGACTTTCTAATAAAGCCCAATTAATCATAATTAATCTTATCGATCTAATTAGGCCTTTCTCCTAAGACGATCATCACTTTGAATTAACCTATGGTTTTCCTCACCAAACTGAATATTCTAAACGACCGTCGTCTTGAAATATCCTCATGTTTGAAATATTCTACCATATTCAAAGAAATGTGGGCTTTGCTGTGTGGTGAGGCCTGATGAGTAGTGTGTCTTTTAGTAACCTTATCAAACAATTTGTGGGCACAAATTCCAGAGCTAACCACATTGCTCTATGAGGCATTTACTCGTAGACTCGTAGTCAGTAGTTTCCTTGTTGACCCATGGAATATTCTTGACGGATGAACAAACAATTAATTATAGTCAATATTGAATATTTCCATATGATCTCAGTTGTAAAAAGAACGAGACGATGAAGCACCCTGAAGAAGACTTCGATTTTTGCTTAATTTCGATCAGCAGATTTTTTTGATTTTTTATTTTGGGAGAACATTTGAATCTTGTTTAATCGTGTATTATATGTTAATTGATCTGATTATTATAATAGTTTTTTTAGTGGAAATTTAATTCATTGATTTAAAAATATAAGGTTAATTAAGTAATTTTAGCAAAGTACGATGTGTGTATGATGGGGTACGATGTGTTTTTACTGGGTTCGTACCAAATACTAGTATCGTACTGTCTCGTACTATAAAATTAATGGATGAGATTAAAAGTTAACTACTTTATACGCTCCAGATTAAATATTTTACGGTCCGAGAAGTACAACACTCTCGGACCCTAAACAAGCCCAATTAAGGTACCCTAACCTCCTAGTCTTCTGATGTATTAGGTTTTTGTTTATTTATTTATTGTGATTTTGATGTGTTTCTTCTAATTTTTGTTGTGATTTTTGATGTGTTTGTTCCGATTTATGATGTATTTCGTATGATTTTTGATGTGATTGTTGCGATTTTATGATGTATTTGTTCTGATTTTGGATGTACAATAGAACTTCGATTAAACTATAGTTTCTCTCGGTTTCGACTCGGTGAAAAACGTGTTAAATTATTAACTCGATAAAATTAATAATTCGCTAAGTTAACAGAATTTTCCTTGTCCCGGCTGTATTAATTTATAGATGTTTAACTGTATATACATACACATATATAGATGGATGGTGGTGGTCATTCGAGAGTGGGATACAAATATAGTTATCGGTTTTGGATAGGCGACGGCGTCTCAACGCCGCCTTATTTCGAATTGACCCCCGGTATAAAAAACTATCTATTGGAGATTAGAACCGATTTCGTTTTAAAGACGCTAGGTTGTGAGGAAGAAGAGATCCTGGATTCCGAGGTATGGTACGGACGCACGTCGGAAAACGACGACGATGACGGGTCCACTGTTTACTTCTACACCGCTTCCAGGCTGAGAGATTACTGGATGACCGAGGCCGAAATGAAGAGGTTTGCCCGCGACGTAATCGGTTTCGCCAAACAAACGGCGGCCCCTCGAGTGGACCCCATAAAATCGTTTGTCCCCATAGTTGTGGATATCCGAGTTTGCACCACTCAGCTAAAGGGCGAGACAGTCGAGGAAACGAGGGAAAGGGCTATTTGGTCAAAGCACTTGGTCCCGATATTTCTGCAGCCGTGTACACTCGAGAGGTGGACCAAGTGTTCGCATCTCATGATTTTCTTGAGCCGAATACCTAGGGTTCGAGTTGGCAACATCCACGAGTGTTTGGTAATGATGCGAAGTTGCTCATTGTGTTCGATGAAGCCGTGGATCGGGACTCAGATATCGCGCCTCCCGTGCGGCCATGCTTTTCATTCGCACTGCGTTCTTCGGTGGTTGGAGTACCGCGACACTTGCCCCTCTTGCAATTTTCAAGTCCATGATCGCCTACCTCTATGATTTATTTTTTTATTTTTTTATTTACTCTCTCTTGCTCCTCTTAAAAAAAAAATTTATCATATAGGGGGCTGTTTTCAGTTGTTCTTTAACTTTTCCTAGGGTCCCAGATTCTTAGAAATAGGTCTGCCTCTATGATTTATCTTTTTTATTTACTCTCTCTTGCTATTAAGCAATTTTTATTTACTTCACATTGAAATTGATAAAAATAAAATAAAATTAATAATACCTTATTGAAAATTTAAAATTATTATGAAAGGATATATAATTTAAATAAAAAATCTTATATATAAAACGAAGATATTTTGAACTAAAACCTAGACCTAAACCTAGGGTTAATTTTGTAAATTAATAAATGTCTAATTTAACCATTAATTAATTTATAATTTAAACACTAACTCTTATATTTAAACATTCCGTAGGTATGTTTCTAATTATTTATATTTATATTTTTTTATTATTTTTCTTCTCCACTCTAACCACCCACTAAACTCCCCACTAATTCATCATGGTAGAATTTATCATACCATGATCTCAACGCCTACCAATTTCATTCTTCTATTTAAATTCATGAGAACTCCACCAAAAATCACATTTTTTTTTGCCAAGCTTCTTCTTCTTTCTCATTTAAAATTTTGTCCGTCTTCTTCTTCGTTTATTTAACAACTGTGTTATGCCGTTTATTTATTTAATTTTGCATTTTTTTTGATATATTGTAAATTTATTTTGCAGCAAGCATATTCGTATCAACAATAATTCGTGGTTGGAGCGGCTACTCACGTTAGTCGGTAGAAGGAAACAAATTTATGTTAGACAATATTTATTATATGCTTATGTTAGTTCAAAGTTTTTTTTGCTATAATTTATTTATAATATTGAAGTTTTATAACTTACAACACTTTATTGCTATATTTTAATTCCTTTGAGATGTTGCATCATTATTTTAAGATTAATGCATTTTTTTTTTGTTTTCTCTAGACCGTTATTTGAAGCTACTCAGCAATTCTAAGACATTAAAGAAAAAAAATTCAATAAAGAAGAGAAGAAACCATCATCATCTCACATCATACACCAAATGCTTGGCATCATGTTGTACATCTACAAACATTCATGCTAGGCTCATGTAATAGGATTATGCGAACTTATTATTTATATTATTAAGTTTTAAGTTTGTGAGTATATTGATAGCTCCAAGGCCATTATTGTTTCTTGAATTGGCAACACAAATCTGCGAATTTTTTTATTTTTTTTTTCGTTCGTTGATCAACCATATTTTGACAGAGTTGGCATAGATTTTGATGTGAGAACTTATGCAGTGAATTTTTGTTTGCTCAACTAATGTGAATGTTCTCATTATTTTTAATCTAAAAAATTAAATTGGCATTATTTTTAATGATTGTTTCAGCTTTTGTATATAAATTTGAATTGTCATCGTTGTAAATTCAATCAAAAATTTTAGAGTAAAAAAATGTATAAGGGGAAAAAACAAAAAACGCAAGAGTAAATATTGGAAAAACTATTCAATTATTTTATTTGATAAATAAACATGAAAGATTCGTGCATATCATGACAAAAGTTATTTGCATCCCATAAAAAAATGAATAAAAAAAAATACCATATAACCGTGTATTAAGAGTAGCAGATAAATTTTGTGGTTGATTAAACAATTATTTTTCTATTAAATGTGAATCGTGTATGCAAGTTTTTCCCAAAACCTAGCTACCGTCTTCATATGATTTTCGTTAAACTTTAACGAACATTTTGCTCTCTCTTTTTTCCCATGTCTCACCGACGGTTCCTTTCATGTGGCAAAGTTTTGTTGCACATAGTCATCTATTTCAATTGTAGTGTGAAGTGAACACGAAACTGATTTTGCTGCATTGAGATAGAAGATTTTTTGTTAAGCATTTTGCGTAGTTATCATGTTGCATAATTAAATTTGTAGAAATGTTAATGCTATTACTGAAATTTAAATTTATTTTTACTACAATTATTATCGTCACCAAGGTTGTAAAAGGCGGTAATCGGGTCCGAGTCGGTCAGGCACCGACTCACGATTAATCGGTGCGGCGGTGATTAATCGGTGATAAATCGGAAATAACATAGTTATATCGGAAATAAAATTTAATATAATATATTTCTAAATATTATTTATAAATACTCCAAACATATATAAAAAGATATTTAAACATAGTTATATCTCCATCATGTATATTTCCTAATAACATAATAAAAGTTTAATACTTATAAGATCATAATACCTAAATATCCTTATT